TGGAAATTAATTTGCTTTTATGCCAGCACTTTGCACTATGTTTTTTTTTTTTTTTTTAAGGACTAATTTTATCTAATAAACTTTGCTTTCGAATTCGCCTAAAGCCTGTTGCTTGCTGCTGCCTGCTGCCTGCTTGGCTGCTGTAGCGCACTCTGCGTCGCGAATGAAATGAAATTTTGCTGTATACAAGTTTGAAAGCGAAACTGGTATGTAATTTTGCTGGTCGCTATTGTTTTTTTTATTTATTTTTTTTATTTATTTATTCACTTTTGTTGTTGCGGCCGTTGTAGTTGTTGCTGTTACCCTGTTTGTACAGCTGACAGCCGATTCACTTTTGTTGGCTTTCTTATTGCATTTTAGCGGTTTTATTGCTAATAATGTTTCTATTGTTGTTGTTGCTGCTATTACTACTGCTATGATTACTTGAAAGTAAAAACATTCATCGCAAACAGTGGGCCGAGCTCGGTTTGCGACGCAGTAAAAGTAATTGGAGTCTGAAGTATTCAGGGTTAATCCAGGGGAACCTAATCAATGAAATGAAATGAATGGCGAATATTTTTTTATCACCTGGACGAAGGCAGTCAAACTGCAGTCCTCGTCCATGTCGATGTCACTCCAATTCCAAACGGCTGAAAATTTTCGAGTTTGTCTTTAAAAACTCGCTCTTCTACTTCACTTGTTTAGGTGACCTAAGATTACGAGGACGCAGTAAAGAAGCTATACACTTCTCAGAACATCGCACGCTGGACGGTTATGGGGCGCATTCTGATGTCGACTGAGCACTCACTATCAGTACATAGCGAGATCCAACCGTGATTCCGGCTTCTAACGTAGGGAACAACAGAACAGACACTTGCGTGAAGCAAAGTCTCCTCCCATGTACGACAGAATTCATCTCTAGGAACTCATCGACAAAATCCAGACATGCATACAGAATACGACCACTGGACTCGACGATGTACCGACCAGCCATCAACGATATTCATAGAGAGCCATTTAAGACATTCATAGAGAGTCTAATTCACAAACTTTCGCCACGTCAATATTATAATACGAGCTCAACCACCATCCATCTTAAACCAAGAGCTTCAGCTGCCTCGAGATACTCACAAGGTCTGGATATTTTAGTTGACTTAAGTCCCGACTTGCGAAGGGTCACAGGACACCAACCAGCTCTTCATTTGCTTGCCCTACCCTGTTTCGATGGGTTACCGTTAGTTAGGGCTTAATAGTGCTGCTACATAAAGAACAACCAGAAAAGGGCTTTTGCTCTTCTGATCACCCATTTACCAGGAGACAACAACGCCCAGTATACCCTCACCGTAGAGATTGGGGCACAGCAAGATGTCTGTTCACCTGGTCTTCAGAACGATGGCGCTGTGGATGTATATACATACTTAAGAGGCGAAGGAATGGTCCGACCTCATGGTCAGTACCGACTTCGACAGTCTTATGGCCTTATTCATAAAAAATAAATTAGCTTTATAAAAGGTTTATAAATTGAAAAATGTATGAAAACGTCAATTAGAAGTTATGCTCTACTTGAGGCCACACCACATAGTCATTGAACAGACCGAAAAGAAAGCCATTGTGATCTCAAGCAGACCTCGGGAAGTTGAGGGTCAGGGTGAATTGAACTCAAAAATTCCTGTAACATGATGAAAGGAACAACCATTGAGAACTGGTTCCAGATCGAACTAGGCAGCTAAGAGGCCGGGAAACAGAAAATGCTAGAAACCCTATTTCGGGTTCACAGCTAAATATTGACATGGCCAAGGCCATAATCTTCAGCTCCACTAGCTACGGCAAACCAAAAAAACATATCGGAAGCTACAACTACAAAAGACAAACCTAAGCCACGGATCATTGCAGGCTGCGAGCCCAAATGAACACCTTAGGAATTAAATTGTTATCGCGACAAACTTTTTTCTTGACCAGCTTGAACATTTTGAAACACCGTACGACTTTTCCCGCACGAAAATTACTATCCTCTGACTGTCAGTTTGTATGGATGGCCATTTGTTGCGTGTGGCACGTTTGGAAGTGTGCTCGCATTGACATACTCGTATGCATGCATGTCGGCTGTGTTTCCGCGAGTGTGTGTGTGTATGTGTGTGTACAAGCGTGCGAGTGCATTTTATTGCACTTTTACATAACAATAAAACGTATTAGTAACGTTACATACATAAATTGTTTTTATACAATTTTAATTTCTGTTGTTGTTGTTGTTAATAAAGTATAACTCTTTCCATTAAATGACGTGAAAATTAATTTTCCTCTATCCACGTTTCATTACACATACCTACGTAAGTATCTACGTACATACTTATGTACTAGGGCGGGTCGAAAATCTAATTTTTCTCAAATCCCTTGGTAATAGTGAAAATATATTGTAT